CTCGACAGGCCATTTGTCGACAAGACTGCAAGCGTTGCCTGGCTGAGCACTGAGTAGTTCCGGGCTCAAGGGTGAAACAGAAAGCCTGATCATTGCAGCCCCAGACCAAGCACTCAACACGAGATACCATCAACGCAACATCCTCAAGCAACAGGTCAACAGCAAGTGCAGAATGTGCAGCAAGGCAGAGGAGACCTTCAGCCACATCATCGCCGGATGCACAGTGCTGGCCACAACCGAGTACATAAATCGCCATAACAAGGTAGCCAGCTATCTGCACTGGTCAATCTGCAGTGAACTTGGTGAGCAAGTACCTGACAAGTGGTATGAACATACTCCGAGACCAGTTACCAACATCGGGGATACTACTATAATGTGGGATATGAGGAGTCCGGCGGGTGGGTACGTGTCCGGGAGGGAGGGAGTCCGGCGGGAGACCTAAAGCGAGGGTCGACTAAAACTAAACTAAAACTTAAACTAATGTGTATGCGCCATAATTACGTTACAAACACGACTGACGTGTCTGTTCGACGATTGGGCTGCATGCTCCATGATATTCTTGGTCAGTCTTTGGTTGTGTCTCCAGTTGCCACCTCTCTTCAGGTCGCCTCTCCCCCATTGCGACTGCATTTTCTCCTTTGTAGTGGGCATCTATTACAATAGTGGTCTAGCTTCCTTGTAGTGGCCATCTTCCTTACAAATGTCATATATCTTACTAGCTGTTGTCATCATTGTTAGTAGAATACCTGCTCTGCTTGCCTGTACGGATCTTTCGTTACGCAGGCGTCATGTGTCCGAGAACGTTCACAGAAGACTCGCTGGACATGGTATTCGGGGTGAACTACGTCGGACCGTTTTACCTCACCAAGCTGCTGACCCCGCTGCTGAAACGGTCAAGCCCCAGCCGCGTGGTCAACGTAGCGTCTGGAGGTTACAGCTCAGGTAAGTTACAGGTGGGCTACAGGTAGGTTATAGGTAAGCAATAGGTAAATTACAGGTAGGTTATAGGTAGGTTATAGATAAGCAATAGGTAAATTACAGGTAGGTAATAGGTAGACAACAGGCAGGTCATACGTAACTTAGAGGTTCGCCATAGTTAGATTATAGATATGGTGAGTTATAGGACGTTTTAGGGGCGCAAATCCACTTTAGGCACCTTAGGTATCACGAAGTGATGCACAGATTTCTGTGTATCATCTACTGATGCACAGACGTTCCGTATATCAAGGAATGATGCAAAAACCCCAACCCTAATCAGTAACCCTAAACCCTAACCAGTAACCCTAACCCTAACCTTAACACACTTCGTGATACTTAAGGTTATACGTTATGACTTAGGGTTAGGGTTAGGGTTTAGGGTTACTGATTAGGTTTAGGGTTTTTTGCATCATTCCTTGATATACGGAACGTCTGTGCATCAGTTGATGATACACAGAAATCTGTGCATCACTTTGTGATACCTAAGGTGCCTAAAGTGGATTTGCACCCGTTTTAGGTAGGTCACAGGTAAGCTATAGAAAGGTTACAGATAACCTATAGAACGAAGATACCTAGTCTATGGGTAGGGCAGGCCTATAAGTCATTGATTGTTAGATTATAGGTAGGTAATATGTAGATTAGGGGTAGGCTAAATGTAGGTTATAGGGACATATATAAACGAAGCCAGCCCGTTACTGGCTAACATTGCGTTGTGTCTGCGCTGTTGATTATCCGTGAGAACATATGTTCCTGCTAAAGCAGGCTCGCATATCCTATATAACACTGAAGCCTAGGGGGCTAAGAGGGTTGATGTTTGTTTGCAAAACTCGCGCAGCCGTCGGTATTAGTTTCAGTCCATTCGCTTATTGTACCTTCATGCTGACTAACTAACCTTCAGAGGATAAGGTTTGGCAAGAGGAAGGAGAATCTACGGGTGGTATGTGTATAACTCGGGATTATGTGGAGCTCAGGGTATTCTAGGCGTCCGTGGTCCGTAGACTGTGGTTCGTGGGCGGCCGGGTAGAGTAAAGTACGGACAGGGTCGGGCCTGTATCCAAGCATGGGGTGGCCTGTAGATTTACTGCACTCGCTATAGGCAGACCACAGTCTGAGGAGCGATAAAGTGAGTGGACTGAAAACAGGGGGCCGTTGGCAGGAACAAAATCAGTCTTCACATTAATCTTTTCTCGCATACCGCTAACAGGAACAATCAGAGTCGGGTAAAGTTACGATTTTCTCATACACAGTGTATAGATTACCGCGTGTATGAAAAAAGACTAATGTTAAGAATTTTGTTTCTGACAACCGGGCTCCGGGTCTGTAGAGCGCATGCACGCAGCCGTCTCACGCATAGTTGCGCTTCGCAGGGAGACTGAATTTAGAGGATCTGAACGGAGACAGGAAGAAGGCGTCTAGCTACGACATGTGGCAGACGTACTGCGACTCGAAGCTAGCCGTGCTGCTGTGGACCCGCGAGATGGCCAAACGCAACGTGCCCAACATACGCTGCTTCGCCGCACATCCAGGTGAGCACGCACGCAGGCACGCACACACGCACGCACGCACGCTCGCTCGCACGCACGCACGCACGCTCGCACGCACGCTCGCACGCACACACGCACGTACGCACGCACGCACGCACACGCACATACGCATATACAAACTCGCACGCACGCACGCACGAGCTGCTGCTGCTGCTGATGCTGATGCTGATGCTGTTGGTATAAGTGGTAGTGGTTGTGCTGTTGCTACTATTACGAGTGCTACTGCTAGAGATCTTAATTCTCCTTGGTCGATCGTATCAGAAGTAGATAATAGCAAGTAGGGAATCCCTATCTAATTCTGATCGTATGCTACTGCCACGGCTATTACAACTATACTGCTACTGCCACCGCAGGGAGCTGGCCAACATGTGGGCAGTAACATGTTGACAGCATCGTGATACACACGCCAACACATGTTGCAGAGCGTCTGCCGTTAAAATGATGTTTTTGTTTACTTCTCTCTGCGAAACGTCTGTTCCCGAGTAAATGTAATTTTTCTGGTCACCGCGTGCAAGGTCGGCTTCGCTCTGCGCGAAAACTCGTGCAGAACTATTGTAACAAGAACATCAGTGCAGTGTGCCTCTCACTACAACGCAGCGGTGACGTCAGGCTGCACGTCTAAGCATGGGGTTCAGAGGGGCAGCAGACCTATAGAGCATCTGAATACCGTGGTCCCCGCTCGTGGTCTGCTCGTGGACTCTGCTTTATCGGGACGGGGTTTCGTATAAGCGGCGAGCACGTAACAACGCGTGTGAGGATTATTTTTCAATGACATGTCACCCACACCTATGCCCCGATGCCCGTGATAGAGGTGTGGGCCGGGGTATTTGCATGCAATACAAATTATGGACGTCTAGATCACGCCAGGTATGTGAGAGACCTGGCACTGCATGGTGCGTTATGAGAGAAGACGGGACAGAGGGAAAGAGGGAGAGAGCGTGAGCAAGAGAGAGGGGGATGACGAGAAGGAAGGGGGAGAAAGAAGCAAAAAGAGATAGAGTGCGCGCGCGCACATGAGAGAGACTGGCAGACAAACACAGAGAGAGAGAGAGAGAGAAGAGACGAGAAGAGAGAGAGAGAGGAGAGAGAGAGAGAGAGAGAGAGAGATGAGAGAGAAGAGAGACGCGCAGAAAGGAAATGAGAGACAAATAGATAACGAATGAGGGGCAGAGAGGGAACAAGAGGAGGGAGAGAAAAGGAGACAGAGATGAGAAGGAGAGAAGAAAGAGAGAGCGAAGGGGGAAAAAGATAAAGAAACGAGAGAGAGCTAGTGCCGGCTCGCCGCCGCGACTAATCTTGTGTGTATAGCTAATACCGCGTCTTTCAGGCGAAAGTATTTTTCAATCGATGTCCTCGCTTTAGCTGCCGACGGCGGCCTCGTTGATGTGAGCATTTATTTTACGGGATGAGAACACAGGAGGCTGCATGTGAAAATTCTGCTCGCTAATATCCTCTGCCGCGTTTTTAAGCGCGTGCTGCATTCATCGGTCTGTGAAGCGCTGCAGACGATATCGGCTCCCGCTGACGTAGCTAAGTAGTTAGTACAGCGGTAGGCAGACTGAGCGTGATATAAGAGGGTGACATCAGCACTCGTCTGATGCTGTACACAGATCATAATAACAGCAGCGGCTCAATAGATTGTATGTGAGCTATTCTAAGGTCGACTCGCAATAGTTATATATATATATATACTATATATAATATATATATATATATATATATCTTCATAATCAGATAACGGTAATAACTAATAGAATGGATTTAGCACACGTAGCCGGTCTAAGCATCTTCACTTACGCTCATAAGTCTGTACTTCATCAGCCCATCAGCAACTAGACTGCTTATGTAAGCGCAAGGAAGGCCTGCTGTTACGGCCTTTACCCTGTGTTAACCATGCCCTGTTAACCGTTGCTCGCGTACCTTAAACCTTCTAACATGGTGCAGACTGTAATTAGTAATAAACGTATAGAAAGCAATAAATGGTAATATTATAGAGGCATAATGGTAGTATAAATTATGACAATAATGGTATGCTAATGCCCAGTAATGATACTGTATAGCCAGTAATGATAATGTATAGAGACCTATAATAGTAATGCCACGTATATCCAGTAATATTATATACTATAACGACTACTATGGTTTTATATAGCCAGCAATGATAATGTTATAGGGGGGCGACTATAATGATTATGTCTAAGGGACTATAATGATTATGTCTAGGGACATAATGGTTATGTATGAGTTATGTATGAAATTATGTATGGAGGACAATAATGGTAATGTATTGAGACTATAATGGTTATGTATGAAACTATAATCAAGTAATGATATAGCGATTATAATAGTAATGTATAGCCGGTAACGGTAAGCGTCTGCCTGCAAAGAAGCGAAGAGGGTGAAGGCCAGCAGACGTGAAAGTTTCATGCCTGCTCAACCTGTTCCAACTTTCGCTCGATCAGGAACCTTCGTGAGGAGTTTCAGCGCAGCGATGTCACGACTGGACATTCTCGTCAACAAACGCGGGTACGTGTCGGGAGGGAGGAGTCCGGCGGGTGGGTACGTGTCACGGGAGGAGAGGGAAGGAGTCCCGGCCGGGCGGGTACGTGTCCGGGAGGGAGGAAGTTCCGGCGGTCGGATACCGTGTCCGGGAGGGATGGCGAGTCCGGTGGGTGAGGTACGTGTCTGGAGGGAGGAGTCCGGCGGGTCGTGGTACTGTCCGGGAGGGGAGGGAGTCCGGTCGGAGTGGGTACCGTGTCCGTGAGGAGGGAGTTCGGCGGGTGGGTAGCGTGTCCGGTGGGTGTGGCGATAGCGTGTCCGGGAGGGTGAGGGACGGGAGGTAGTCCGGCGGGTGGCGTACGTGTCCGGGAGGGAGGGATCCGGCGGCGTGGGTACGTGCCCCGTGGAGGGAGAAGGAGTCCCGGCGGTGGGTAACGTGTCCGGAGAAAGAGAGTCGGCGGGGTACGGGTCGTGAGGAGGACGGAGTTGCGGACGCTGGGTAAACGTGTTCCGGGGAAGGAAGGAGGGAGTCCCGCGGCGAGGTGGATACGTGCCCGGGATGCGAGGGAGTCCGGCAGGACGGAGTAGCGTGTGCCAGGGAGGGAGGCAGGGAGTCGCGGCGGGCGGGATTAACGTGTCCGGGAAGGAAAAGAGGGAGTCCCGGCGGGGGGGGGGTCCGGCGGTGGCGTACCGGTCCGAGAGGGAGAAGGGAGGCAGTTTGACGTTTGGGATAAGTGTCCGAGGAGAGAGGGAGGAGTGCGGCGGCGGGTCCGTGTCCGGGAGGGAGGGAGTCCGGCGCGGCGCGCGGGTACGTGGTCCGGGAAATGGAGGGAAAGGAGTCACCGGACGGGCGGCATACGTGTCCGGGAGAAGGGAGGGAGTCGCGGCGGCGAGGCGGTACGTGTCCGGGAGGAGGGGACCGGCTGGCGGTACCGTGTCGCGGGAGGCATACGTTTCTTTTTCCCAAGTCCGACATATCCAGATCGAGAATTTAGCGGCCTTAAGATATTCTGAATGAGATTCCATTGCCTGGCATCCTGATTGTTCAAATAATTTGCAATTCTTCGGCTATGTACCAATGGCGGCGTTTGTTCTCTATTGTCAAAGCAAAGCAAATCGAAGGCAGAGCCAATCAGAAGGCGGCTAAATCCCTGGTCGGGATATGTCGACTGGAAAAAGAAACTCGCGTCGAGGGAGGGAGGGAGGGAGTCCGGCGGGTGGGTGACGTGTCCGGGAAGGAGGGAGATCCCCAGCGGTGGGATACGTGTCCAGGAGAGGGAGGGAGGGAAGTCCGGCGGGTGGGTAACGTGTACAAACGGAAGAGGGAGGGAGGCGAGTCCGGCGGGCACCCCCCCGACACCCACCCCCCGGGGGATACGTAAATGTCCGCCGGAAGAGAGAAAAAAAAGAAGGGAGATCGCGAGGAAAACTGGAGGTATGTCGCGGGAAGGGAGGGGCGA